TCAACCTCGTGTCTGACCAAACCTCCCCCCCAGGAAGCCGCAACCCTGCGGCAATCACTCAAGCTTCCTGGGCGCTCGAACGGCAGACTCGAGTTCGAGTGCTTAAGCAGCTGTCTTTGTTCATGTCATGGTTCTGATTGGCAGAGTGTCCGTGGGCTCTGAACGCCCGAATAAATGGCAACCCCCCCCTCCTCCCTCCTCCCGCGTCACTCTTCCTCCCTCCTCCTCCTCGGTCCTCCTCCTCGCTCCTCCTCCTCGGTCCTCCTCCTCCTCGCTCCTCGCTCCTCCTCCTCGCTCCTCCTCCTCCTCCTCCTCGCTCCTCCTCCTCCTCCTCCTCCTCCTCCTCCTCCTCCTCCTCCTCCTCCTCCTCCTCCTCCTCCTCCTCGCTCCTCCTCCTCCTCCTCCTCCTCCTCCTCCTCCTCCTCCTCCTCCTCCTTCAGCCCTTTCGCCTCGAGAGTTCGAGGTTGGCCGAGCGCGCTTCGAAGGGGCGCAGCTCGGCCGAGCCATGGCGGCATCGTGATATGCCAGGCCGGGCTCTCCTCGAGGGCTTTGACGCCGTGGTCGAGGTGACTCTCCGGGAGGGCGCCCAGCAGCTGGTTTAGTTCGTGGTCCGATTCATCGTGACGAAGGTGGAGGCTGGGCATCAGTGGCACCAGTCACTGATGTGTGGTGCGGCGTGCTACTGGTGATCTATCAATGCTTCGGGGTGGCTTCGTCGGAGGTCTTCTTCCTGGGGGGTGTCGAAGTCGGCAGAATTGGAGCACGCCGTGTGGCTCGACCGCCTATGGGTGGCAGCGGGGTGCTGCTGGAGATCTTCGTCTACTAGCTTCGTCTGCATTTGGTGGGGTGCCAACGGGATCGCTGGATTGTTCATCGGGGTGCGTGTGCTTCTGAAGTTTCTCGGCAAGAGCGGGATGCTCGTGAAGGCCTTCGCGCCTTGAGGCTCGGGGAGGCGTCGGGGGGGGGGGGGGGGGGCGGACTCTCCCTGTGGCCTCCTCTGGGCTCGGCCTCCCCTGCGTGCGGGGGAGGCGGGAACTCAGAGGGAGCTTCGGCTTGGGCCCCTGCGCCCTCTGGTGCCAGGGGGGGTCCGCCCACCCTGCGCAGGATGCGATGGAGCTTGCTCTATTCTCTATTTCAGCCTATTTCAGCCTCCTCATCCTCATTCTCCTCCTCCTCCGCCGTCTCCTCATCCTCCCGCTCCTCATGATACTCCTCCTCCTCTTCCTCCCCCTCCTCCTCCTCCTCCTCCTCCTCCTCCTCCTCCTCCTCATCCTCCGTCCTCCTCCCTCATTCTCTATCCTCCTCCTCCTCCTCCTCCTCCTCCTCCTCTCCCCTCCTCCTCCTCCTCCTCCTCCTCCTCCTCCTCCTCCTCCTACCTCCTCCTCCTCCTCCTCCTCCTCCTCCTCCTCCTCCTCCTCCTCTCCTCTATCTCCTCCCTCATTCTCGCTTCTTCCCTCTCCTTCCCTCCCACTCCCTCCCCCCTCCCTCCCTGCTCATTCTTCCTCCTCCTCCTCCTCCTCCCCCCTCCCTCCCTCCCTCCTCCCCTCCCTCCCTCAATCCCTCCCTCCCTCCCCCCTCTCCCCCTCCCTCCTCCCTCCTCCGCTCTTCCTCCCTTCTCCCTCTTCCCAAGAGAGCGCACCGAGCCCGGCCGCCAGGCCGATCAGAGGGCGGCACGTGCCCCAGCTTCTGGAGGAACGGGTAATACTGCGGCGGGATCTGCGCCGCGCCCGCGGGGGGCGTCGCGCCACGGGGGGTGGGGGTGGGGGGGGGGGGTGGCGCGCTGCGCATCTGCTGCTGCCTCTTCCTCCTCCTCCTCCTCCTCCTCCTCCTCCTCCTCCTCTACCTCCTCCTCCTCCTCCTCTCCTCCTCCTCCTCCTCCGCCTCCCTCCTCCTCCTCTCCTCCTCTTCCTCCTCCTCCTCCTCCTCCTCCTTCTCCCCCTCCCTCCCTCCGTCCCTCCCTCCCTCCTCCCTTCCTCCCCGAAACCAGACGATGCCACGAGATTAATCACAGTCATGGAGAGCATGGTACGCTTATGGTCGCGCATACATCGTCCAATATCTCGAGCATGGATACACAAGCACGATCGGAGGTTGGGGGGTGAGATCACAGTGGAACGGAGACCCCCAACCGGGAAATCGTTTCGTTTGGTTCGTGTCGTGCGTGCGGGCGAAGCGAAGCTGCGTGGGCGCGCGAGCAGAATGAACCCGCCGATGCTATGGGGAAGTCAAGACAAATGATTATCCCCCGTCCTTCCGTCCATCCGGCGGTGGCCCTAGCGGTGTCCCGCGGTGTCCCGTGGTGTCCCGTGGTGTCCGCCGTTGCTAGGGCCAAGTCAAGACAAATGATTATCCCCCGTCCGTCCGTCCGTCCGGCGGTGGCCCTAGCGGTGTCCCGCGGTGTCCCGCAGTGTCGTGGGGTGTCCGCCATCGCTAGGGCGAAGTCACGACAAATGATTCTCCCCCATCCGTCCATCCGTCCGGCAGTGACTCGCGGTGTCCCGCGGTGTCCCGTGGTTTCCCGTGGTGTCCCGTGGTGTCCCGTGGTGTCCCGTTGAGTGAGATCGATCGTGAAATCGATAGCGAGATCGATAGTGAGATCGATAGTGAAATCGATAGTGATATCGATACTGAGATCGATGTGGTGCCCCAAGGTGTCCCGAGGTGTCCCGTGGTGTCCCAAAGAGTGAGATCGATAGTGAGATCGATATTGAGATCGACAGGCGTCCCGTGGTGTCCCGTGGTGTCCCGTGGTGTCCCGTTGAGTGAGATCGATAGTGAGATCGATAATGAGACCGATGTGGTGTCCCGAAGTGTCCCGTGGCGTCTCGTGGTGTCGTAGGGTGTCTGGTTGAGTGAGATCGATAGTGAGATCGATAGTGAGACCGATAGTGAGATCGAGAGGTGTCCCGCGGTGTCCCGTGGTGTCCCGTGGTGGCCCATGGTGACCTGTGGTGTCCCGTGGTGTCACGTGGTGTCCCGTTGAGTGAGATCGATAGTGAGATCGATATTGAGATCGACGGGTATCCCCGTGGTGTCCCGTGGTGTCCCGTGGTATCCCGTTGAGTGAGATCGATGGTGAGGTCGATTGAGTCAGATGTTGGTTCCCCTTGCTCTCACTCCCCCCCAAAACTTCCTTATCAACCGAAGGGTGGTCGTATAGGTAGCATGCATATATGGGGGAACGGGGGAAGGTACTCGTCTAGATGTTCTGCCTATGAGCACAACTTGCAGACAGAGGTTGCGCACTTGCTGGGCGAACCTTAAATTCCTAGAGTGTTGGATGTGTGGAAGTGCTTTGAGACGGTGCCTTTCCCCGCTCCATTTAGAGAAACACAAGCGTTGCGGTTTCCAATACTCTTGATGTGGCTGCGTCTCGAAATACATGTGCAGACCAGGGTCGTTAAGGCACATGGCAGCTGGAGTATACCAACGATATCGGGGCAAGGCATACTAGCTGAGTGCACGCATGCGACAAAATCACTCACACTCCTTACATAGTGTGTTATACATCGTGTACATGTGCATTACAGCAAGGCCAGTCCACGGGCGCTAGTGGACGACATGACATTTCAATGGACGGGCTCTGACTTGCGAGAAGCAGCTGAACTACATCATGCAGTCGATGATGTTGCGCTTGAAGTGCATGAGCTCGGCCTGTTGGTCAAACCTGCAAAGTGGGACTGGCTGGCCACCACCAAGCGTGCTCTTTCGTCATTTGGGGACAAAGCAAAGAGACCGAGGTTCACAGCCAAGAAGTGGACTCGAAACCTCGGACATGAGATGGTTTCGGTTCGGCCTGTTCGCAAACAAGCGCATGTTCGACTCGATAAGCTTCGCGATCGATTGCATCGTCTTCGAATGCTGAGGAAATCGGCAGGTGGTCAGGTGGCGGCTTTGTGGCGAACAGGTCTTCTGCCTGCTGCTGGCCATGGAGTGTCCGTATCGGGAGCCAGCCCAGCCGAGCTCACAGCCATACGACATGTTGCGGGCACGTTGTGTGGGTGTGGTTCCTGCTCTCCATCACTCACGCTAGTGCTGGCAACACAACATGATCGGCGATATGATACTACATACCATGCTACTCTGGAGCCCGTGAAAGTATACGCTAGCTCCGTCTGGGACCATCAGGTTTCCCTGGGAAAGCTCCAACAGGCCTGGATTTGCTTAGCCGGAAAGATGGAACGCCGCCGTTCCTGGTCTAACTCTCGTGGGCCCTTGGAGGTGCTCTGGTTGACGTTGGAGAAGGTAGGGTGGAGGATGGCGCCTGGTACTTCACTCTATGACGGCGAGAACTACGACATAGATCTATAACATCTACCGCCTAAGTCTGCATGCGAGCTGGTGCGACACTGGGCTGAAAGGTGGCAGGCCAGGAACATGCGATCTCAGCATAAAGACCTTGTTGTTGGGGGATGAGCGGGTCTGGATTCGCTTGCTTCGTAGCTGTGTCGGGGGACGTACCGCTGCCGTCCGTCCTCCCCGCGTTGCTGGTGCGCTCCTCAAGATGGGGGCAGATGCTATCTTTAGGTCGGGCATGTCTTCCTACAGGTAGATTTGTGGCGATACATTCAAAATACGCAAAACATACACCAAAATAGTAAAACATAGTCAAAACATCGTCCCCCGACTATTTGTCCCTACCTAGGCTCTGCCTAGAAGGGTTCTTACTCGCTGTGCTTAAAGGGCCGGGCAGTGGGGCTCGCCCCGGGCGGTTCCCCCAGGATCCGCCCCGCGGTTCCCCTAGTTACGTCCCCTTAGCTTAGCGTTGCTTATCTCACCTTAGCTTAGCTTATTTCATCTTGGCTTGGCTTAGGCTCATCTTAGCTCAGGCTTATCTTAGCTAGCTTATCTTCATCTTAGCTTCGCTGAGCTTTAGCCTAGCAGAGCACAGCATAGCATAGCATAGCGTAGCATAGCATAGCGCAGCACATCATATCATAGCATAGCCCATCATAGCATAGCATAGCGCAGCATAGCGCAGCATAGCATGGCATAGCATAGCATAGCATAGCATAGCGCAGCACAGCACAGCACAGCATAGCACAGCGCAGCATAGCATAGCAGAGCATAGCAGAGCATAGCATAGCAGCAACGCAAAGGCAAAGCAACACCAGCGACAGCAAAGCAAAGCACAAGCAACGCAAAGCAAAGCAAAGCAAAAGCAAACGCAAAGCAAAGGAAAGGCAAAGCAAAAGCAATGTGCCACATATGCCGAGCTAGCATGGGCCTACAGCATGGGTGTAATTCCCTACCTGGGCTCTGCCTACAGGGTTAGCTTAGCTTAGTCTCGCTTAGCATAGCGCAGCGCTGCATTAGCATAGCATAGCATAGCATAACATAACCAAGCATATCATAGCACAGCACAGCATAGCATAGCATAGCATAGCATAGCATAGCGCTGCATAGTATATCATAGCATAGCGAAGCATAGCATAGCATATCATAGCATAGCATAGCGCAGCTTAGCATAGCATAGCATAACATAGCTTAGCATAGCACAGCGCAGCATGACATAGTATAGCTTAGCATAGCATAGCATAGCATAGTATAGCGCAGCATAGCATAGCATAGCATAGCATAGCGCAGCACAGCATGGCATAGCATAGCATAGCACAGCATAACAACTAATGCTGCTTGCCTAGGGGCTCCAACTTCTAGGTAGGGTCGCACTGGGGTAATTGACTATTTTCGAACGTTTCATATGTAGAGGAACATGCCCGATTCAATGCTATCTGGACCCGAGACAGGCAGCACCAAGCTGGCTGCAACGTTTCTGCGCGGTGCGCGCGGGGCTCGGCCGGCAAAGCCACCGTCGGGCACGAGGTCTCCGCGTGCCCGAGCTCCTGCCGGGGCTGGATAGGCGAAGACCTCCAGCGGAGCCCCCCGGGTGGATCACACGTATAAGTATCTGAAGAGACGTGGGCTTGTCTCGAGCCCTCCTAACTGGGATTGGATCAACGATCAACATATCGCTCGTAGCTCGCTCGGGTTCAATCTAGCTGTCGGCAGCTGGCGGCAGCCTGCTCATACGGGGGCTGGATCAACAGATGTATGTGCATGCCGTTGTGCCCTCGGTTCCTCCCACGCGTGCCGATGGGGAGTCTGATAGGACCACGTGGTCCACGGTGGTCTTCACGGATGGCTCGGGGATGGCCCCGTCGAGGCCTGCACTTCGCTGGTGTGCATGGGGACTTTGCCAGCTAGGAGATAACGGTCCTTCCAGCTCGTGCTGCTTACGGTCCACTGGCGGGCCCTGTACAGACAGCTGGTCGCGGGGAGCGCACGGCGCTCCTATTCGTTCTCCAGTTGCTGCCTGTGGTCTCGCTCGTGGTCACGGACCTCTTAAGTCTGCTGCAAGAGGGTACGGAGTGGACATCTGTATCGGCGGATGCCCAGGCTCAGTATGCTGACGTCTGGCGAATTAGTTTCCATCTCACGCGAGGGAGACAACCGCCTACATTGTACTGGTGCCCAGCCCACAAGCCCACAAGACGGCGGCCGACTTCTTGGAAATGAGTCACCATCCCTAGAAGTATTTCTTGGGCAACGATTGGGCTGATTTCTTTACGAAGGCTGGCGCGTCCACCCATGACCAGCACGCTCGTGCTTTCATATGAGAGTCAGCTTCAGGACGCACGGATGGAGGCTAAGCTTATGGCGTGATGTGCGTGCAAGATGACGCATCGTGATGCTCTGGGTGATAGGCCCTCCAGTCTCCTGCGTGTAGGGGCCCCAACACGCCTTGTGGGTCCCAGAAGGCGAGGTATGGTGATTCGGGGCCAGTCTCAATCACTTCTTGCTGGCTGAATGCACGCCGACGGCCCAACAGAGGCTCAAGGCGCTAGGGACCCTCCGGCTGCAGAGAGCCCCTCCGATGAGGTCCCATGCTGTTGCCGCTGCATTAGGGGCGTCTGACGCGAGTTTCGGCGACGAGGGGTCCGCTCATGCGAATCGGGTGCCCGATGGTGTAAGTGCGCCGCTTGATGAAGCGATCGTCGAGCTCAATGGGCACCAGGTGTTGGTGACCCGTAGTGCGATGGTGTGCACCCTGTGCGGCTACTACGTATCAGGTTTCGCTTGGACCAGTCGCCAACTGGAAGTTAGGGGCGACTCGTGAAAAAGGCCCCTCTGAGCACCCACCTGCACGTAGTAGGCAGCGGTATGATGTATCCTGTGTGCGTGCGGGTAAGCATCCTAAGCCTGGGAATCAATTTGATGTTGCAAAGTAGTGTTGTGAATTTGTTTTGTCACTCTTCGCGTTGGCACACCCATTCTGACCTCACGCGTGCCCATGGCGTGTGAGCCTCCTTCTCCTCCTCCTCCCTCCGCCACCTCCTCCTCCTCGTCCTCCACTCCCCTCCTCCTCCCTCCCTCGCCGCCACCTCCTCCTCCTCGTCCTCCTCCTCCTCCCTCCTCCACCTCCTCCTCCTCCTCCACCTCCTCCACCTGCCCCATGACATGCTTCTTCCCCCTCTGCCTCACCCTTGCCCCCCTCCCAGG